AATTATTATTATTATTATTATTATTATTATTATTATTATTATTATATGCTGATACTAGTCTTTCCAGGCCAGATCACAATATATGTGATTCACCCCCATCGTTCAGCCCTGACACTGAGGCCCAGCTCCGAGGGCCTTCTGGCGGTTCCCTGTCTGCGAGAAGTGAGGTTACAGGGAACCAGGCAGAGGGCCTTCTCAGTAGTGGCACCCTCCCTGTGGATGTCAAGGCAATAAGCAACTATCTTACTTTTAAAAGACATCTGAAGGCAGCCCTGTTTAGGGAAGTTTTTTAATGTTTAAGGCTGTATTGTGTTTTTAATATTTGGTAAGGAGGCGCCCAGAGTGGCTGGGGAAACCCAGCCAGATGGGTGGGGTATAAAATAATAAAATAAAATAAAATAACATAAAATAACATAAAATACTTCTGGTCTTCATCTGGCCTGAAAGATCTGCATTGCAGTGTGCATCTTCATAGTGTCAACTTTTGTATTTTTGGCAGAATTATTGTTAGGATGGAGCTGGTGCAGACTTTCCTACACCATATTTATTTACTACATTCCTTTGGGACTTCTATACTGCCTATCCAAATGATCCTAAAAGCAAATGAGGTCACTTGAAGGGTACACAGTCATTTTGATCTGTGCAATTGCACAGTTCTGCAAATCAGAAATGCCACTGAGTGCATTTGGGGGTTTTCCCCCACAGAAAAATGGAAAATGAGAATAATTAGAAAATGTTGAAGGGACTAATGCATTTATTTTTATTTCTAAAAATTAAGAAACTACTGTTCAAGAAGGGACGCGGGTGGCGCTGTGGGTTAAACCACTGTGCCGCTTGGGCTTGCCGATCGAATGGTCAGCGGTTTGAATCCCCATGGTGATTCGAACAGCCAACCTTCTGATCCGCAAGCCCTAGGCTTGTAACATAGTAATGTTACATAAATCTGAAATACACACTCTACAAAGACATTAAATGTTATTCCATACAAGACCACTCAAAATCTCGCTCCTTTTAATTTATAAAATTATTATAGTTTAAAAAGAGATTACCTTAGCCAAGTATATTTAATATGTAAGTAGATCGTAAATATATTTTAATCTATATCTTCCCCCAGTAACCTGGATTATTTCATTCCAATATAATATTAATCAGCTGCACTTTTCTTTGACTTTGTCGTATTGGTGTTGGCTCTCCCTAACCTTTATTAAAGTTACAAGTTTATATACCACTTAACCATACAGAATCCAGTAAGCTTGCAAAAGATATGGGAATGGGTTTTCTCAGAGGTGACTCCTTTCTTTATGTAATACTCTCCCCAGGGAGCCATGCCCTGCACTCTCACCATTGTTTTTAAGGTAAAAACATATTTATTCACTCGGGCCTTTGCAGCTTACCTTTCCTGCTTACCTTTTAGTGGGATGGGGCGGAGTTAGACCTGTTTTTCTATATGTGTTACTTGGGTATTGTAGATAGTTTTATCCTTGTTTTAAAATGTTGATGTTTGTATACGGGGTTGCTATCTTTCAAAGAGCGAAAGTCCGGACACAAAAGTTGACCTTTTTTTTGGGGGGGGGGGCGAAGTTGTTAGGCGTTTAATTGATTATAGAAAATTGGTTTCTATAATCAATCAACCAGCTCTATGTTTATAAGTTGCTTTGAGATTCTGTTTTTTGGGGGGGGGGAGTGACTAAAATATAATAATAATATAAATAAATAAATAGAAGATGCAGTGGAAATAAAACCAGTTTAAATTAACCATCAAGTGTGTGTGTGTGTGTGTGTGTGTGTGTGTGTATAGAAGCACTTTGTAAAAATTGCCACGTTAGGCAAAATTAGGTACAAAGGATGTGCACAAGAGGAGAAATAGATAGTAAAATGCTCCTGAATTTTCATGGTTTTTCAAAATTTTGCAAACTGATGTGGAAAACTGAACTTAAGAGTGCAAATATGAGAAAGAGAGAAACCAGAATTGATAGATTCTCCAACCCGTACCTATGTACCATGTTTCTGGGCTCAATATAAACTTGTGACAATATAAACTTCTGCCAAGGCTGGACTTTTGCCTTTCAAATTTCAGTGGTGCCCTGTTTGAGCACAAAGTTGGAGCATAGAATTTCTGCTTTAACCAGTTCAGGTCACAAGTGGCGAGAGAATGCCATGGAGCTCATGAGCTGCCTGTAGGCTTCTGATAGACATTCGGTGGTCTACTGTGGGTGACTGTTAGAATTCCTGCTCTGTTATTGCAGTCATGCGATTTTTGTCTATCACATGACGGTGTATGTTTTCATTCCACAGTGTGGGAAGTGATGGAGACAGGATGTTTATGTTACTGTGTTCTGTGAAGTGGGACTATTGTCCTTTGTCCTTTCTCTTTGTGTCCGATGCTAGAGAGAGAGGGAGCCATGTTGCAGTGCTCCATGTGTGTTTATATGTAAATAAAGTGGATTAGCCAAAATGCTGAGTTGCTGAGGTCTGTTATGCAAGCTGCGAAGACTCTGCGGATCCCTAAGTGTGCCAGTGTCTGTTGGCATCGGTCGCTGTGATGTTCGGGCTGAAGAAAGCTTTTGAAGCTCCCGAATGATCAACCAGGAGGGAGAGAACATGCCAGTCGGGCATGTGCCTCTGCCAGGGTCCTACTCGAGTGTAGGACGAGCTCCTGACAGTGACTAGATAGACCTTTAGTCTGATCCAGTAGGGCTCTTCTTGCATTGACATTTGTGTGTGTGTGGGGGGGGGCTAGTTATTTTAAAGGGTGTGCCCAGCCTGCCTACCTAGTTGCTATTATCTCAGAGTCTCAGTTTAGTCAATGGTCTGTTCAGTCCAAGATCTTGTTCCCAATAAAGGTGAGCCAGCTTAAAACCTCAAGCAAGCAACAGTCACTTGCTCCCACCAAACTGGTATTCAGAAGCTGTCAGGGAACTGCCATCAGTGCCGGAGGGAGAGAGCAAAATCCAGAGGGATTCCGGAGAGCGTCCCGGGATTGGGAGAGGCAGCCCATCTTCTGGGGAAGAGAATCAGCATAGCACCAGTGGAGAAGGGGGGCAGATGGGGGAAGCGGTGAGGCGGTCCCATGACTCTTTGCCGGGGACCAGCGGGGAGAGTAGAGGTCCTCCGCTGCCTACGCCCTCCTTGCGCTGAAGGCTTCCGCGCAGAGAGAGTAGGCGGAGACTAGGTGTCAAAGAGCTTCTTTGCTGGAAGAAGTTTAAGAAACGGCCACTGACGGATTCTGCCAGCGATTGAGACAGCCACGGGTGAGTGGCTGTCTGGACAGAAAAGGTTCACTCAGGCAATCCAGCCAGGTGTTTGCACCGGCTTACGCACGAGCAACCCCTAGAACAATTACAGAAGCATATTGCAGAAGGTCTCCTGTTCAGTTCCCAGTATCTCAAGGTAGGGGTGGGAGAAACCCCTGACTGAAATCCTGAATTGATCCTGCTAGTCCACACAGACCGACCGACCAATGATCTGACATAGTATAATGCAGCTTCCCATCTTCCTGCAGTAAAGGAAAGAAATTACAGAACATTTCCGAGCACAATTCAAAGTGTTGGTGTTGACCTTTAAAGCCCTAAACGGCCTCGGCCCAGTATACCTGAAGGAGCGTCTCCACCCCCATCATTCTGCCCAGACGCTGAGGTGCCGAGGGCCTTCTGGCGGTTCCCTCATTGCAAGAAGCAAAGCTACAGGGAACCAGGCAGAGGGCCTTCTCGGTAGTGATGCCCGCCCTGTGGAACGCCCTCCCATCAGATGTCAAAGCGATAAACAACTACCTGACATTCAGAAGTCATCTTAAGACAGCCCTGTTCAGGGAAGTTTTTAATGTGTGACATTTTAGTGTATTTTTGGTCTCTGTGGAAGCTGCTCAGAGTGGCTGGGGAAACCCACCCAGATGGGCGAGGTATAAATAAATTATTATTATTATTATTATTAGAACATCAGCCAGCCTTGAATACAACAGCAGTCTTCTTTGGCCTGATCATCTCTTGCGGGTGGTGTCTCAGCCTCCCAGACAAATGCTGAAGGCAGCTCCAGCCCTCTCTTCACCTCCACGTCCTGCATCAATTCGAGATGCACAGACAAAGCCCCCGAAAAGTAACTTTTAAAAAGTGTGCGATTCCTTGCCAGTGTCCTACCTCAGGGATCAGCTGGTTTACGATGTATTAGTGGATAGAAAGAACAGGACACTAAACAAGAAGCGAGCAGTACAGTTATGGTGTCTTTTTATGTGTGATATAAACCGATCCAGAGATATATTGATCCCACGGGTTGAGTTCCTTCCCCTATCGCCACAGCTTTCCTTCCCCACCATAATCATAGCAGAATATTCTCCACAGCTATAGAGAAGGATCGCTATGTATTCCTGTTAGAAATGAATTTGGGGGGGGGGGGAGAGGAATAATCAGGGCATGCACCAGTGGCTACCACATTTGGGGGCAGTAATGCTTCTGAATACCAGTTGCTGGAAACCAAGTTCTTATGTTTAGGGGTAGCTCTCCAGATGTTGGACTACAGTTCCCATCATCCTCTACTGCTGGCCATGCTGGCTGCAGCTGATGGGAATTGGAGTCCAAAACATATGGAAAGCACCAAGTTAGCTACTCCTGACCTAGATCCAAGTCCACTGGCAAACTATAATTATCTATTCTCTTCTAGTCTGTGTAAAAACTCACATATATTTTGGGAAGCCTGTCGTTTCCTCAAGACTTCACCACTGTATTTTGGAGCAACCTTACAATTCTGCAACTTGTTATCAGCCCATGGTGACTCTTTGTTCTTTTGCAGAGAAACAAACACAACATTCTCATTTTCCTAACCTAAAGACAAAACAAAACCCGAAACCTGGTGGGAGAGAATTCCAAGACAAACAAAGCTGAGGAAGGGAAAGATCTGGTTTTCAGGGGAATGGGGTACCTCTAGGAAAGCAAACTCTCTATGTCACAGGTAGACAGGTAAATACCACAGTGTTTCAATAAGTGATTCAGCATGCGTACATGAAAGGGGCAGGGCCTTGGCTCAGTGGTAGACTATTTGCCTTGCATGCAGAAGGTCTCAGGTTCAATCCCTGGTATCTGCAGGTAGAGTTGGGAGAGGACCCTGTCTGAAACCCTGGAGATCTGCTGCCAGTCCATGTAGACAGTACTGAGTTAGATGGATCAATGGTTTGCTTAAGTATAAAGCAGCTTCTTATGTTCCTTCGCAATATGTTGGGAAATGTGAAAATGAAGATGGCAAGTAAAAAAAAACCTGAAATTGATTACTGCTTTAAGCAACTTTGTTGATAATTCTTAAAATAAATGGGGGAAATAATGCCCGCTGTGAGATTGCTTATATGACACAGTTCTTAAGAAGTTCACTTTGGTTTTTCCACTCAACAAGGTTAATGAATATCCTTATGAATAATACAGTTGGGGATTTTTCAGAAAGGGGAATGAGATGAAGGGGAGTGGGGAAGGAAACAGGGACTGGAAGTCTTCTATCTTGAAGCTTGCCACTCGGAGGCAGTGTTTTCCAGAGATTAGAAAGGGAGAAAGGAATCAGCCATGTATTGTTTCAGGATGGAGACAGACAAGAGGTGTGTGTTTTCCCCCACCCAGAGTAGAAGGTGGCTAGAAAGTGAGATTGCCACGTGTGGTATGTCTTTTCATCCAACATTTCACTTTCGCCAACGAAGTCGCACAGGTTTTTGTATGGTTCCAAAAAACCTGCCAAACCTGGTTGATCGGAGAATGGAGAAATAAGGTCAGTGACCGTGGGAAACACTTTCCATTTGTCTTGGACACCTGCAAAGGTAAAACATCTGCAAAGGTAAAGCTCTACCCAGTTTTTCCTTAGACCAGCTCATTGCTTGAATGTGGCTCTCAGAAAGTTGGCCTGAAGGGAATGTGGCTCTCAGACAGAAAAATGTTCCCCATCCCTTTATTAAAGTCAGGATGGTAGGATTCCATAGGTGTCCCTTTTTGCTTCCATGAAAGATTCAGGCAGGCAGGCAGGCAGGCACTCAAGAGGTGATGTTCCCTAACTCAAGGCTGGAGAACATGCTTTGCATACAAAAGGTTTCATATCCAATCTCCAGGTAAGGCTGAAAGAGACCCCTGTCTGAAGCCCTGATGAACCACTGCCAGCCATTGTAGACAATTCTGAGATAAATGGACCAACAGTCTGCCTCAGTAGAAGGCATTGCCCTAGGTTCCCCATGGTCATATGGAGTGTGTGCTGTTCTCATTGTTGCTATAGAGCTCACTGGTGACGGTATTCATTTGATGGCAATGTTTTGTAATATTGCAAGAAGTCTTGCATCTCATGTCCAATGGCTGTTGCCTCCCATGACCACCACAGCTGTCATCCCAAAAGAGCGTGCATAGGTATTCCTTCAAACACTGTTCCCACCAAAGCCACTGGTTCTGCAGGTACCAACAGTCCCTCCAGTTCAAACCAATCAGCTTTTCAGATAGTGAAGCAGAGTAAATGCCAAGGAAGGTGTGGGCATCACCTCTCAATGATGGTGAAGGGAACCCATGAGTGAGGACAAAGGCTGAGTTCTGTCCATCTTTGACCTTTGAGTATCAAAGGCAAAGGACAAGGCAACTTGGACATGGGATTGGAATTTGTTCTAACCAGGTATCCTCCAAATATAATGCACTTTTGTATGTTATTTTCACAATGACCGCTTCCCACATTAAATGGGGGGTGCCTTTTGCATGGTCACGTACAGCCCCCCAGATCCCAGTGCAGCTCCTGGTAGTTCAGGCTGGCTTTATCCTCCCCAGGTGGGATACCTGGAGGTCTCTGTCTACCTCAGCCAATCGCCCAATCCTGCCTGGGGAGGCGTTGCCAGGGGATTGGCTGGGTAAGTGGAGGGACCATCCTGCCCACACAACAGAAGGTGAATCTTACCTGCAAAGCGGCAGTCGGCTCCAGAGCTTCTCCCACCCTGCCCTCCCTCAGTTAAGTCTTCTCTTGCATGTTAATCTCTTCTCCACAGGTACGCAGGCGCTGCTATGTCAGGGTCGCTGTTGAAGGGCTGGAAAGGAATTTTCCTGCATGGCAGGTTTTGCCTTTCCCATAGCAAAACGTCACAACTTTGGCGGTTTCAGGCCTTGGGAATCCTTTAGTCTATCTTCTTAAATGGGGGGGGCATGAAGCGAGCAGTGACCCACGCCCCCCTTGCGGTGGTGATCCCAGGGTTCCCCATTAAAGGGGTCCTGAGGGGAGGCATTGGCCATATGCCGAAAGGTTGTCATTGCTCTCCCCTCCAACAGAAGCAAAACGGGGTGTGGGGTGTGGTGGGCTCTCTGCTTGAACATATGTTTTCCAGAGCCAGCCCGATCCCCACACATTCTGGATAACCCTGATGTCTCCCAGATCCCCAGCTGGGGACTGGGAAGGATAAACACCCAATGCCTGAGCCAAGGTCTCCTTACATCTGAAATTTAATAAAGTTGTGGTCAATTTTAATCCCATAGCACGTTGTCTTGAGTCATTATTCCACTCGGGGGTCGCCTGGGGGTTGGGGGGGACTCTGCCTGTCCATGCAAAGATATGCATTTATATGCACATTTTATCCTAGCACATGCATTTTGGCACACATTACTTGGGCTGAGTACTGAACTGCAATATTCAGAGAAGTGTGAATGTCAAATGATTACAGTGGAACCTCGGTTTTCCAACGTAATCTGTTCCGTTCGACTCCTGAAATGTTTGAAAACCAAAAACTGAAAGTAGAAGCCTCAATACAATAGGGAAACTCAAAACAGAAGCCGTGAGGCACGTTCGGTTTCTGAAAATCGTTCAGAAACTGAAGCAATTACTTCTGGGTTTCCAGCATTTGAAAACCAAAACGTGTGTTAATGGAGATGTTTGACAACCGAGGTTCCACTGTACCATGTTTCAGTTCTCCCCCCACCCAGGAAGTGTGAATTAGAGAGGTTCACTTTTAAATGTGAACCCAATCAAATCTCTCCTCATTCCTATTTTTTACTCTCATGACAGAGGAGTGGGGGGTTTTCACTGTCCACCATCCACACCAGGCATCATTTTTATAAATCACTAATATGTTTCCTCCACACACCCCACACACTGGTTACTCATGCCCTGAGGGGAGAAGGATCTGGTATACAGTCTCTCTCTCTCTCTCTCTCTCTCTCTCTCCTGTATATTTCCTTTCTTTATTATTGCATCATGTCCTGTAGCGATAGGGAATTTGTGGCTCTCCAGATATTGATTTATTGCATTTGTAACCCATCTTTTTCTCCAAGGAGCTCAAGGTAATGCACATGGCCTTTCCTTTCCTCATTTAATCCTCACAACAATCCTGTGAGGTAGGCTAGGCTGAGAGGCAGTGGTTGGCCCAAGGTCACCCAGTGGCTGAGTGGGGATTTGAACCCTCATCTCTCAGGTCCTAGTCCAGTACTCTAACCACTATACCATGCTGGCTCATGGATTTGGAATCCTGTTAGCCCCAGTCAGCATGTCAAATGGTTTGGGCTGATAGTGGCTGTAGCCCAACAACAACAACAATCACCCCCCCCACACACCATCATCTATGCTAATTCCAGTTTTGATGGAGGTGGTGCCATAGCTTATGCAGCCACAACAGTGTCAACTATACATGAAAAGGAGACAGATATCAGCAGGCTCGTAGAAACGCCAAAATTTGCAGAAATACAGAACAACTTTAGCGGTGGTGGGAGCGACTAAAAGCGGAAGACCCAAAAACTGTCCAATGAGGATTGACTGTGTTCAGCGAGCACAGAATGCTGAGTGTTGAAGGGAAAGAGAGGGAGAGGGAATGGATATGCAATGGAGTATTCTAGGGAAGGGCATGGTTGGAACACTGATCAACTGATCACCAGTATGCCACAGGGCAACATCTTGCTGTAGGCAATAAATAAATAAATAAATAAATAAATAAATAAATAAATAAATAGTGGCTGGGGAAACCCCGACAGATGGGTGGGGTATAAATAATAAAACAATAATAATAATAATAATAATAATAATAATACAGTTTACTCTTACCCTCAGATCTTCTTGTAATTCTTATAGAAGATATTCACCTCGAACACATTTGGTAATCCTTATTGTTCAATGGGGATTGTGGAAGGCATGGGAGTCAACTCCTGGGGTCAAGGACCCTTTGCCTCCCCCCCCCATAAAATATTTGAGGGGGCACAATGTCTTGTGATCAATTATGAGGGGCAGGGCTTACCTGCGCTCCCATATGTTATACAAGTTGGCACTCCAATGGAAGGCGATACAAGGGGTGGGGTGAGAGTGGGAATACACCACACTGCATGTGTTAGCACAACAACCAAATTCATATTTTTTTTTTATAAATAAAGCATCCTCAGAATCTCCCCCGAAGCCAATATAGCAATAGATGATAGATGACAGCTAGCTAGATATTGACAGCGACCGGAAATGGGGACATTTTGAGTGTACAGTTCCTTTTGCAGCCGTACGATGGGAGAGAGCTACACCATAGCGTTGATCAGCAGCAGTGTGTGGGATATTGCCTGAGGCAGCTTCCAAATCACCAGCCTAGAACCCACGACGCGAGTCCACACCCCGGCATGTTGGAGGCCTGTGAGGAGGAAGCAGATTCACCCCTTCTCTCTCCCTGCTCCCCCCGCCTCAGCCTGCCACCCCCTCCCCTTCCACCAGCCAGCCCCTTTGTCGACACTTGATCATTTACATCAAGTTGACATTCGCAGAGTTTACTCAGGGGTCTGTAATTGTATTCTTTCACCGGTTCTGCATTACCAACCATGAAAATGGAATCTTATCATCCCTGACCAATTTTTAATGTACAAAATGATTTGGCCGAGGTTCAAAAGGGAGCCACAATTGAAATCAGGTGAATGATACATGTAGTATTTTTCAGTTTCTTCGTGCCTTGATTTGATATTTCCCCCTCTCTCATATGGCATCTCTCTCTCTCTTTTTTTGCAAGCTATATAAATGCATATATACTCTGCATATATATCTAAGAGCTATCGATAGATTTCTTTTGGGTGCCTACCTATCATTTAAATTTACTTATTCACAGTGCAGCGGAGGACAATGAAGTTTCCT